GGTATATATATAATGCTGGCATATAACATCAGCGTTTAATTTTCACTAACAAAAATTATCAGAAATTCAAAATATGACTTATAGAAATTTAAACTATATTAGCGTGTTACAAAAATTGAAAATGGGGAAGAATTTAGATAGATCTGAGACTATATTGATTTGAAAACGGTAAAGAGTTGTTTTTCTAGTCAAAGTTTGGTTACCTCCCCAGTTAACTTCTTGTTGGACTTAAGCCCACCTCCCTCTATAGATCTGGTTCTATGCTTCTAAATAGAGACCTTTGGTCAGTTGATCAGCAATATTGAGCTCACATTTTACTACTTCCACGTTAAATAATGTTCTCATTTAGCATGTGTGTCACAATTTGTATCTCACTTGCATATGCCTATTCATTGTTTTGTTTTGTTGTTTGTATTATTATTTATTTCAATATTCACGTTCTTGATTAATCATCTGCTTCTGAAAGAAAAAAAAGAATTTCTTGGGAATCCTGCACGATCGATTTGTTATTTTATTGATCTCTAATAGATGGTCAAAACTTTGAAGCACTGATTAATTGGATGAGAATAAAGACAAGAGTCTTATTCTACTTGTCAATACTGACAACTATGAAATTTATAGACTTTGTTCTCTGTGTAATTTCACAAAGTGCAAGCCTAGTGTGTTCTTCTAAGGCCCAGGTTAATAGTAGGCTGACATCTAAGGCCTAGGTTAATAGACTTTGTGTGTGTATTTACCTTTAAACAACTTTGCATTAGAAATGTATTTTTTTTAGGTTAAAATCTGATACACATGTTTGACATATTTTTTGGTAAATTCTTCATATCAAAATTAATTTGATCAGTAGAATGTATATTGGTTGCCCATGTATTGTTTAAGAATCACATAATGACCACAAAAAAAAAAATTACATTTTCAATACATAATTTTATATCTTTTTATACACTTATTTTTTAAGGAAAATATCAAATCAGATGGTGCAATTTTACTCAGTGCATGGAAAGATTATGGGGATGCCTGCATACCTTGGTCTTGGGTGTGGATGCCCACCAACCATGAGAACAACAAACACAACTAGAAACTAAACATTTTCATAGAAAGACTAAGGACTTACTAGCGGGGAAAAAAGACTTTGAGAAGTAGGGGTGCAACTTGGGTAGGCTCATCCCAATCCCAGCCCAAAATTTTTTACGGTTTGTGCAACATATTTTTGAACTTAGTGCGGGCTTGGGTAGAAATTCAAAAATCCAAATTAAATTATGTCTAGCTTTCGGCAGAGACACCAAACAAGCTGAAGTAATCCAAAAAAAAGAAAGAAAAAGGACTTTCTAGATGAAGAATGAATCTAGAAAGATAATAAGCTAACGTGCTAGTCTTTCGGGTTGCAAAGGATAGGGGGATCAATCATAGAAATGAGCCATTAGCAAGTGTCTTTAAAGAGACTGGAGCAATTTCAATTGCCATATTGTAGGTATCAATCGTTGAACCGAAATGAAGGGTCAAGTGATGAACGATAAAGATCACATGCTAACATGGAGTGGTCGGGTGCAGGAGATGAGAAGAGGGTTCAATCAGAAATGCATAGATGGCAATAGATTGCAAATGGCAGTGGTTGATCGGCATGGTAGGAACAACAATAGATCGCTGCGATTTCAAGGTACTCGTTTTCCTCTTTCCAAATTCTTCTTAGGAAATTAACTTATGCACAAAAATCCTCCCCCTAGGATACACAGAATCTTGAAAAGAATGAGAAAACTGTATAGCTTACTTTATGTATATCTTCGTTTATAAACTAAGATGATCAACATGCTTGAATGAGATTCAACTAGAAACATAAGATTAAGAGCATAGACAAGACCAAGTGTTTATCCAATGTAACAATCAAGTTTTGTGTTATCACTCGTAAAATGTGTAAGTGAGCACAATGTCAGGCAAATCTAGAATGCAGAAATATCTCAAGGTGCTATGAGATGTCCAAGGGACAAGGAATACACACAAGTCAAGCCCATCATTTGGACTTAAGGCATTGAAGCACAAACCCGAGTTGTTAAACAAGCACATGCTGATCAACTTCTATAGGAACGTGTAGCCTTCTAACACAAATAAAGTTTTTATCCAGTGGATGTGTACAATATGCTATTTAGCTTTCACAACATTCCACAAGTTATGTTACACGGACTCGGGTACGAGTATCGGGTGCAGGTGCATATCTAAGGGTCAGACACCTCAAAACTAAAAATGAAGGATACGTAGATACAAATCCGGATTTGGATTTGGATTTGGATACGAATACGAGAGTACGTCTTATAATTTTTTTTAAATATATATTTTATATAAAAATGAGTTGAAAAGTTGACCGAATAATTTTTTTATATATAATTTATGGGCCAAACATATAAATTAGCTACATAACAGCCCATGATATTAAAAGATTTGTAGGCCAAAATTTTAGTAGGCCCAAAATTTTATTTTATTTATCTGGTTCAGCCCAATTTTTTTTATAAATATTTTTATAAAAAGAATAAAATAGAGGAATGAAATATAATAAATAAAGAATAAAAGAGAGAGAGAGGGGCAAATCAAAAGGCAGAACAATGTCAATGGAATGGAAGAGAAAGAGAGCAAGAGAGAGAGAGAGAGGGGCTTACAGTCGTGCTCGTCGAAGATGAAGTTGAAGTCGAAATCAAAGGGCGCTAGACGAAGTCAAAGTCCACGAAGACAAAGTTGAAGGATGCGACCAGAGGGATCGATGTCTTGCTCTTTTGAAGTTGGCAACCAGGTTCTCTCATTGCTCTCTCCTCTTTCGTTTCTTCTCCCGTATCCATTTGTAAAGAGCCATATTCCGGCCGTATCCCGCACCCGTACCCGTATCTTGTCAACACGGGTACCTCCCAAAAAACGAAGAGTTCATATAACGTAGTCCATAAGTGGCCATTCATGTTTTAAGAATACCTCTATTGGGGGAAAGCTGCCACACGCAAGCCTCAAATATGGATCAATCCAATTCAAGTCTAAAGGCCTTTCCAAAGCAACTAAAGATATTTTCGATTATTACAAGATTCTCTAGAAACTCAATACTCACTGTGTATGTGCAATGATATCTGAGTACAGATGAATTTTAGAGGACAGGCATATGTGCATGTAAAAACTCTTCATAATGTATCGCAATTAACTCAAATTTTGCACAAACACCAAATTAGTTTATACACAAGAATCCATAGTAAAGCTATAACAACACCCAATGCTCAAGAGATTCTAGTATCTCACATAAGCATGCAACTTCACATAAGCATGCAATCAAACAAATCATGTCAACTTCTAAAATCATACAAATCATGTCAACTTCTAAAGATAGATATAGTGAAGAACATGAGTGACATGATGCTAGACAGTTGATAATTGCTTATACATCCAATTCCAGTTGACAATTGCTCTTTACAGTTGATAATTGCTTATACATCCAATTCCAGTTGACAATTGCTCTTTACAGTTGATAATTGCTTATACATCCAATTCCAGTTGACAATTGCTCTTTACAGTTGATAATTGCTTATACATCCAATTCCAGTTGACAATTGCTCTTTACAGTTGATAATTGCTTATACATCCAATTCCAGTTGACAATTGCTCTTTACAGTTGATAATTGCTTATACATCCAATTCCAGTTGACAATTGCTCTTTACAGTTGATAATTGCTTATACATCCAATTCCAGTTGACAATTGCTCTTTACAGTTGATAATTGCTTATACATCCAATTCCAGTTGACAATTGCTCTTTACAGTTGATAATTGCTTATACATCCAATTCCAGTTGACAATTGCTCTTTACAGTTGATAATTGCTTATACATCCAATTCCAGTTGACAATTGCTCTTTACAGTTGATAATTGCTTATACATCCAATTCCAGTTGACAATTGCTCTTTACAGTTGATAATTGCTTATACATCCAATTCCAGTTGACAATTGCTCTTTACAGTTGATAATTGCTTATACATCCAATTCCAGTTGACAATTGCTCTTTACAGTTGATAATTGCTTATACATCCAATTCCAGTTGACAATTGCTCTTTACAGTTGATAATTGCTTATACATCCAATTCCAGTTGACAATTGCTCTTTACAGTTGATAATTGCTTATACATCCAATTCCAGTTGACAATTGCTCTTTACAGTTGATAATTGCTTATACATCCAATTCCAGTTGACAATTGCTCTTTACAGTTGATAATTGCTTATACATCCAATTCCAGTTGACAATTGCTCTTTACAGTTGATAATTGCTTATACATCCAATTCCAGTTGACACAAGTTTTTGGTTCATGCATTGAAACTAATTTTGAATATTCTAGAGTTGCTATGTAGTTTTCTGTAGTATCTCACAGCCCTTACATTATATATGCTGATTTTTTAGGGTGCTAGAGTTGCAGTTGCTTTAATTTGTTTTGTGGGAGCTAACAGTAACTTATGGTTTTGGTTTTCCGATATTATTCGTCATTTGTTTGTTTGTTTATTTACTCTCTCTCTCTCTCTCTCTCTCTCTCTCTAAAAACCCCTATTTCTGTCTCTACAAGCTAAAAGGGATCAACTTTCCACTCAACATTCTCCTCTCTCTCTCTCTTCTTATTCAATGGAAATGTTAAAACACTCATTTTTTTTTTTACTATATAAAGCAACCAATCATCAAAACAGAGATGACCTATTTGCTTAAAAAGTTAAGGAGTAGCTATATTGATCTTGATCATTTGAAGAGGCAATTTCCATTTTTGTAACAAAGCTTTTATGCAATCCATTTTGACCCTGAACCCTTTTAACATAACATAACATAGCAAAGTCCAAAGAAAATAATAGACAGTAAATCAATTTCATCTTCCACATGAGAAATCAAAGCTAACAATTTCCAAATGCGTCAGAATTCACAACTGATTTAAATCCATAGCTTTAAACAACATTGAGTTAAAATTTCCATGAATCAAAGCAACAACTCTGTGAAGCTAACCGTATTTTCTGCTGATTGATGCGTAAGTCTCTTCGACAGGTTTCGCCAATTGCAAAAGAGTGCCAACAACTCTGTGAAGCAACAACTCTGTTTGGAAGTTGAGAAAGTGACGAATAGATGAATTTGTAAACCCACAGAACAAGAGAGAAAGAGAGAACGAGAGAGAAAGAGAGAACGAGATAGAGAAACTCACCACGCTGGAGAACCACCGTGGTAACGCCGACGGAGATCGCCGCCGCTAGATCGTTGCCTTTGCAAAACCTATGGAGATTGTTGCCTTCGCTGCTATGTGAGAGTGAGATTGAGAATGAGAACCCTAACATATGAGGAAATGGGCGGGTACCCATTCCCGACCCATATTCTATGGATATTTTAAAAACCCACTTCATTAATCCTGTGGTAAAAAAAAGGGAAAAAAATCCATATATATTTGGGTTGGATCCCATAGGATCCCCCATTGCCATCCCAACGCGGCCCAAGCTTTTATGCCCTCTTCCACCACTGATAGAGCGTGAGAGAGAGCACCACCGCTCCATCGCGAACATCCTCGACACTCACCCCGCCATCGCGTCCAGCCATTCTGCCAACTTCCACCGCCGATAAAACACGAGAGAGAGAGAAAGAGAGAACCCAAATCTGAGAACTCATATCTGGAAAAATACGAAGATGATGAAATGGAAGAGAAAAAGGGGTCACAATAGTTGGAGGTTATTAGGGTTGGTCGCCGATAAAAGCAGATTGGGGGTTAGCTCAGAGGCGCGTCCGGAGTGGTATCGGAGGTGGTGATTGGAAGTGGGGTAGGGTTTGGGATTGAGAAGATGAGCGTAAATTGGATATTATTATAGGTGCAATGAGAAAGAAAATATAATTTGGAATGGTGTAAAAAGAAAATGAGTGCAAGAAGTCCATTTTGTGGTGTAAGTAGAACTGCTAAAAGGTAAAGGGTATGTTTGGTAATTATTTGGTTTTTAAGGTGTAATGAGAAAGAAAATATAATTTGGAATGGTGTAAAAAGAAAATGAGTGTAAGAAGTCCATTTTGTGGTATAAGTAGAACTGCTAAAAGGTAAAGGGTATGTTTGGTAATTATTTGGTTTTTAATTTTTAATTTATATTTATAAATAATTTGGAATGGTGTAAAAAGAAAATGAGTGTAAGAAGTCCATTTTGTGGTATAAGTAGAACTGCTAAAAGGTAAAGGGTATGTTTGGTAATTATTTGGTTTTTAAGGTGTAATGAGAAAGAAAATATAATTTGGAATGGTGTAAAAAGAAAATGAGTGTAAGAAGTCCATTTTGTGGTATAAGTAGAACTGCTAAAAGGTAAAGGGTATGTTTGGTAATTATTTGGTTTTTAAGGTGTAATGAGAAAGAAAATATAATTTGGAATGGTGTAAAAAGAAAATGAGTGTAAGAAGTCCATTTTGTGGTATAAGTAGAACTGCTAAAAGGTAAAGGGTATGTTTGGTAATTATTTGGTTTTTAAGGTGTAATGAGAAAGAAAATATAAAAAAAAAAAAAAAAAAAACTCTCAAGTTTGACACTAATAATAAGTCCTAAATTATTAATTTAAATTTTATACTTTTTATTTATTTTTAATTTAAATTATTTATCCATTTTCATTATGTAAAATCAACCAAAAATGATATTTTAATAATTAAACTCAATGAAAATTTATATTTTAAACATTTTATATATCCTTTATTGAGTTTAATGACTAAAATATTCTTTTTTCATCAGTTTTACTTAACGAAAATAGACAAATGATTTATATTGAAAACAAATCAAAATGTTAGGGTTTAAATTGACATATATTGAAAACTCAGAATTTATTTTGTTAAAAGACTCAAACCTTAGAATTTTTTTTGTTTGTTTTTTTGCAGTTGTCCCATAAATAAATAAACACAGAAATAAACAACTTAAAAAAAATAATAAATAAAGGAGTTAATTACACTTTCCATCCTTTTATTTGGATTTAAAATTCACTTTATAGTTTCAAGTTGAACAATTTAGCCACTACAATTTAAGTACAATTTTAATTTAGTACTTCTCTAAATAAAATATTAAAATTAATAATTTTGAAATACTTCTTAATTTTTTAAGATGTACATGTAAACAAAATTAATAAAAAATTAGACAAAAAAACTAAATTGAAACTACTTAAAATGCAAAGACCAAATTGTTCTAATTAAAACCATAGGAACTAAAGTAAAATTCTAATCAAATTATAGGAGTGGAAAGTGTAATTAATCCTAATAAAGTGTCACAAGTTTCTAACTTTGTAAACCTCTGTTTTGTTGTCCTTTGAGTCATAACTCAGAGAGAGAAATTTAAAAGCCCAAAAAACAAGAATGAAATATATAATCAACTGCAATCCAAGAACCATCATTAATTAAAACTTCCAATCTTATAAATAAACCTACACAAGCAGCCCAACAATACATAGTTTAGATACAATAACACCAAACACAAGTTTTTTAAAACACTTCAAAACATCCAAAGTGCATAAAACACAAAAAATCCAAACCAGCAAACATTGAAGCACTTCAAAACACTAGCAATGCAAAACTGAACTAATCATCAGTAGGAAAAGCTGAAGAGATGAACCTGTCATCCTCCAAAAACAGCTGCAGATTCTGTGTCTTCATCAAGAACTCAATCGCTCCCTCGTCAAATTCCAAAACGAACCCCTATTTGATCAGCTCAGCCAGTTCGCGTATATGATCTTCATTTTCCCACAACAGTCCCTCAGAAATCGCTTCAGAAAAACAAGTAGCATATTCAATGTTTTTTCTATGTCCACCCGACCTGTCCATCTTCACCGTGAACAACTTCTTACTCTCTCTATCCCAACGGATCATTGGCTTCGTTTCTTTTTTCAATCTTTCCCCCGAAGAGAGCGATAAACTGTAACCAATCGAAATTGGGTCGTTTGTCTCAATTATTGTGAGATCAAGCAAGTTTCTCACAGCTTCATGCCTCTTTTCTTCTTCCATTTTCAAAGAGAATCCAGCAAGAAATCCAAGAATCAGTTTAACCAGCCTTTTTCCAATCAAGATTTCACTCAGATTCACTTGCTCAAGTCCATCACCATCCATGGTAGATACTTCTTTTAACACAGACTCAGAGATATTCCGAACACCAATTTTACTGTAAATTTCAAGCAGCATAAACCGAGGCAACGATGGCAAGCTTGGCTGAGGATACCAAACAAAAAGTGGATTGCATGAAGACTGTTCGAAAAGATCCTTCAGCGAAAGATCATCAGCGATAAAAACATCGCGCTTGTCAACCAACAAAATTTCACCTGAACCTGAAAATACAGGCGGTTTCAACAAATTTTCAGCAAGAAATTTCTCTGTTTTTGAGCTCCAATGCTTCATAACGAATTTCCAAAAAGCACAACACTCGCTATGTGACAACCGCTTTCCAGAACATTCCCAAACCTTCCAGAGCTTGCAAAAGTCGTCCAGCGAATGATGGGATTTAACTTCTAAAGCATTTGAAAAGAACCCAAGTAATTTCCAGTCATAGTGTTTCTCCAACACCTTCAATTGCAAACCAAATAGACCATCCTTGTCATAGAGAACACATTCTTTAAGTTGTACCCACTCTCCATCGTCGCTTCCATTTGGGATCCAAATTTTTCTTGCATCTCCAGACTCTTGTATCCAATTGAACTCTCTCAAGTAACTATAGATTCGAACAATAGTGGCAAAATTGGAATGGGAATCGAGGTAGCTCCCAAGCAAAGAACACCCTTTGCTGACATCAACAGTGACTTTTATTGCATTGAGCTCTTTACTGTAGGATGTAATCTTGGGGCCATAAAATTCTTCATCAATGAATGGTCCATCCTCCGGTTGTAAGAATTTACTCCTATTAGAATCGAACAGCAAACACTCTTCGGGAGACATATAACCAGCACTGGTTTTCAACCATTCTTTAGAAACTTTCTTCAGAAAGGGATCAGGTAAAGGCTTATTGTTCTGTTGCAGTAAGTTGCGGACACATTCGAGCAATGCATATACATTTGTCGGAGTTATGTTGCTTGGATCACTGGGTAAATAAATGCCAGCAGCCACAAACTTGTAACCATCCTTGAAATCAAGAACCACTTTCATACCCTTCAGCTCCTTTTTATATTCATGAATGCCCTTGCCGTAGTAATTGTCACTATCGTCAATGAATGGAAGCAAAGTGATTGGGGAGATAGATTCCCATTCGGGGCAAAACAGAATGCAGTCATTTGGCACTCTATAATCACCAAGACGAGTACGCAACCATTTAACCTCGCGAATACATTTCTTCAGATCATCAGGGAATTTAAAAGCTGTACCATTTAGCTTCCTGCAGCACGCTAGAAATGAAAGAACATTATCTTTATTGATGGAAGACTTTTCAGCTTGTTGCTTGAAAACCCGAGAAAATGCCTTGGCTACCTCCTCGAAATCCACTACTACCCCCAATTGCTTCAACTCATTTTTGTACAACACGATGTCGGTCCCATAAAAGTTCTGGTCGATAAGTGGGAAGCCGTTGAAAACCTCCAGAAGACAACCCCATTGAGGATTGAATAGATACGATTCAGATGGAGCCTTGTAGCTCATGTTTGTTTTCAAAAATTTCTTTCTTTTAAATGCCCTAACAATTTTTCCAGATGAACTAAAATGTTTTAAGCATTTCAGCACCAAAAGACCAGACTCAGCCGTCAGAGCACTGATGTTGTCTGCTGGAGATTTCAGATTGTCAACAATAAGCTTGTAATTTTGATTGAAGCAAATAACCACACCGAGCATCTCCAGTTCTCTTTTGAAATTAAGGATTTCATCACCGTAAAAATTTTGATTGATAAATGGGATGTCACTGATCTCGGATGCAGCTCTCCACTTCTCACTGAACACAACAGATCCAACTGGGGAATTGTAGCCAAGTGTTGTTATTAGCCATCTTCCTTCCCTGATACTACGAATAAAGTCATCAGGAGAAAGAAGTTTCTCTCTCAAAAACTTTATAAATGTCAGTATCGAAACCACATTTGCTCTCGTTAGAGTCGTAGAGGCTACAATAGCCATGAGATGCTTCCCAATAAATTGACAAGCCTCGTTATAATCAAACATCACTCCAATTGCTCTGAGCTCATCCTTATAACCATTTATTTTATCACCATAGAAACTCTGATCAATTATCGGAATATCAACCAGAACAGATTCATTCTGCAGAAGTTCTCCCCACGACGAGCTAGGCAGAAACGACTGTGATGGAGGCCTATAGCCAAGAATGCCATTCAAAGAGACTTTTAACCAGTTTCCCTCCTTTATGCATTTCAAAAACCGAACCGGCATGTTAACCCCTTTCCTTCTCAACCTCTGAATCCAATCCAACAGCAAGAAAGTGTTCTTCTTGGTTAGCTGAGCAGACATTGTAGGAATTACTGCATTGAGAGGAGATATATCAAGGACATCAGAAGCTCCAACATACCTTTTGACGAAATGAATGAGTGAGTTCTCAGGGGTAGAAACACCAGCAAATTTGCCTGAACACAAATAGTCTTCACCGAGCTCAACAAAACCATCTTCTCTCCATGGATTCGATCCAATCAGGCTAATCCATTTGCTTCCATTAGCAGGAACAATAACCCATTTTCTTGCCGCCATCACACGCCCATAGTTATGTTGGACATGGTAGAAAAATTCTGGGTAAAACCCGAATTTTTTCTCAAGTTTGGTCTATTTTTTAGGTGGGCCCCGAGTGTCGATTTACTCTGGTCAAAGTGGTAACGCGTTCTATGCCGCGTTGTGATTCACGTGGTATATTTGGTTGCTCAAAACCATTACCGAGTGAATGGGAAATTGAAGCCAAAGTCTGCTCCATGGAAATGGAGTTTTTGTGGAAATTCCTTAAGGTTGTAAATTGG